AATACTAAGGATGCTACAACAGATCACCGAGACAGAGGAGGTAGAAAACATGACTCACAATACAGACACATTCTCATATTCAAAAAGCGATTCACCGAATTGGTAGTCATCATACTATCGACCTGTAAGCCGAAACGAAAACTGCATAGATATGACTCTATATCACACACACCATATTGCAACTATGATATTATACATCTGCAACCGCAACGCCCACACACATAAATGGCATTAACAATATTGTCTTTAAATACTAAAGGGTTGAATTCTCCCCACAAAAGGAGACTAGCCCTGGAGGAAGCAAAAAAGGCAAACGCTTCCATAGCATTCTTTCAAGAAACTCATTTTCTAAACTCCAAATTGCCCAAATTCTCATCAAAACAATACCCCATAGGCTACCATACAGGTTATACCAAAAAAAAAAGAGGGGTCTCAATCTTGTTTAACAAGAATGTAGCATTTTCCTTACACAAAAAGACAGGGGACAAAGAAGGCAGATACCTTCTCATCCAATGCTTCCTTGACAACGAACCCTATACACTCATAAACATCTATGACCCACACGACAACCAAGCGACTTACCTTGCCAAACTTCTGTCGAGGGCTGACACTACCAACTTTGGGACTCTGATCATAGGGGGGGACACAAATTTTATTCTTGACAGCCACTTAGACTCATCCTCGACCCTGCAAATTTCTAGCAAAACTATGAAAAAAAGGTCACTATCCTCCTGCACTCTCAGAAAACTAATACATGATTCAGGCTATGTGGACATATGGAGGATACTCCACCCTTCAGAAAGAGATTTCTCTTTCCACTCACAAGCGCATAACTCATATTCCAGGATCGATAGATTCCTACTACATGCCTCTCTAACACCCAGAGTTCTATCCACAAAGATAGGTCTTATAACATGGTCAGATCACGCCAGTGGCGGATCCAGGGGGGGGGCAACGGGGCAATTGCCCCCCCCCCGAGAAAATAGTGCAGCTGCCATCAGTTGAGCGACCTCATTAGGGGCTCGGTCGGGTGCTGCAGCCCTTTGGCAGACCGGGCCCCTTTAAAGTTGCAGGGAGTGCTGGGAGGAAGTGACTGTTACTTCCTCCCAGCATACAGACCGCGCGGGCTGAGAACACCCAGGATGCAGCTGGGAGAGAAGACACAGGCAGCTGGAAGAGAAGGAGGAGGGAGGAGAGAGAGCTCTGCAGCTTCAGACTCCCATCAGGCTCAGCCAGCCTCAGGAAGTCACCTCCCTGCAAAGAAAAAGGTATTTAAGCAGAGGGGAGGGTGCTTAACATTATGGAAGCTGCAATTTGTGTATGTTTAGGTATGTGTACATCTGTGTGTGTCAGTGTGTATGTTTATGTATGTGGACATCTGTGTGTGTCAGTGTGTATGTTTATGTATGTGGACATCTGTGTGTGTGCCAGTGTGTATGTTTATGTATGTGGACATCTGTGTGTGCCAGTGTGTATGTTTATGTATGTGGACATCT